CATATGTCTTTGTCACTATAAGGAATTATCTCATCCACCGTAGGAAGGTTCTCGTCTTCAATAGCAACTGAAAAGCTATCATCATAGGGAGGCATGCGCACTGCCAAAGGAACAGGTTCAATTGCCTCCCCAAAACTAGAAGACACGTTAACCATCTTTGTTTATATATAGAGAATATGTAAGCACAGAAGAGTTGTGAGTAGCAGAAGTTATCAGAATCAGTGAAAGCAAGAATACGGGAGTAAAGATAACGAGAGCAAGAACTCTGAATGAAGAAGGAAGAAGAAAACACAAGGATTCAATATCTAAGAGTGCAAAGAATAAGGCACAGGGTTTCATATCCCTATTTATATGAATTCAGGCATCAATATCAAGAAAGAAAACAGTCATTACCCAGTTCAGGTATCGAAACGGCAGAGGCACGGGAAACGATGCAAAGCATCGGGAAAACGCGTAATAATGACGCATGATGTCATGATGTCACTCTGAATCAACGTGACCTAAGGTTGAAGCTCATGAAAGGCCACGTTGCTACCTCGTCTGAAACGCAACTACCCGACCTGTTCGCCTAAACTTCTCAAGCACAACTAACAGAGTCCGCTCATCGAGGTCCTCCAGGGTCGGCATCAATAAGCGGAGGGACTAACTATATAGGCCAAAATTTACCCTAAGGGAACTTAGCATAATGAGGATGCGGCCGAGGTCGACTAGTAAACAGCGGGACTCGTGGTCGAGCAATTAACGATGGTCGAGGTCGAGCACCAAGGATAGAGTACTAACGGCTAGTTTTGTAATAAGATACTAAAAAGAATATTCCATTGAATATTCTCCGCACTTGTACTATTAGAGTTGATTAGGCATATGTCTCATATAAATAGAAAACGAGATAAGGGGATAGGGAATATAATTTTCATTGGATAAGAACACTTTTTGAGAAGAAGACTCTAGAAAAGATACAACCACTATAATTTTCATTGGATAAGAACACTTTTGAGAAGAAAACTCTCTAGAAAAGATACAAACACTAACTTTTTACTAAGATTCTACCATCCATTATTCCATACTTTTCCATCAGATCCGAGAATAGTTCCAATATCTAGGATTTATCTGTCATTCATCACTGTCAGAAACAAGAATAATCCACCTCCTTCAATATTGGGTGAATCATTCTCCTTATTAACACTAATGTCATTTATTTCTATTTATTGCTTGATGTTCCTCTATTATTACTCATATCCTTTGGAATATTAAATGCACACTGCCACCTTTCTTATAGAGAATATTGCATTTACTTCTCCTTTTGTGCCTAAGTTTGAACATATTTATTCGAACCAGAGATAGTAGGTAGCTATGTATGTAGGTGTAATAGATTCACGTGTACATTAAAATTTTGTAGCAGTTATTGCACAAAATGGAAATTTTCCTGCATAAACCAAAGATAATTAATGGTTGATATGTCTTTTTTTTTTTTTAAAAGAAATTTTAAAAAAAAAAAAAACTTGTCTAAACCCGCAAAAACCTGCAACCCGCCCCGCATCAGTTTGTAAAGAATGTCTTAAACCCGCCCTGCACCAACACCGCCCCATTTGCCATCCCTTGCCATAAACAAATCAATCACTTTATAACATAATCCCAAAGTCAAGACCATAAAAAACAGAATAAGATCTATAGGAAAAAAAAAATTAGGCCCTCGCCGCGACCTTCTCGATTTTCTGCAGAATGACGATATCATTTGCTTAGCCTGCCCATCCTTTTAATTTAAACAAACAGCGTGAGAGAATACTGGCATCAAACATTCACCCTACATTCACTTTATCAAGACATGATTCTGATAGTTTACCAATCGGAGTCATTTTATCAAAGGGCAACAGAAGTTGGATTCTTTCAACCCCAAGCAAGCTCAATGAATATTTCATATTCACAAATTTGGGGCTTTATCACATGTACTATAACATATAGGTTTAAAACCTGCAACTTAACTATTTTTATTTAAGCGCCTGTAAAAAATTATAAAAGATGCAACAAATAAATATAACCACGCAAAAGATAGTAATGTGCATTTATAAAGCCCCAAGTGCAAGACACCATACATTAACGTAAATGATCTTTTTAAACTGATAAAGGATGCCAATATTTGCTCAAGAGTCACGACTAGAGAAAACATTGTTTTTGCCAATAGCTACCTCAGAAAGAAATATAAGATAAAATTCAAACACAAAACTTTGGTTGTACTTAAAGGACCATGTGTTGCAAGTCACACAACATAGCATCTCCTAGCATGAAGTCTTAAGCCTGCCTGTTCTTCTTCTTAACACCTGACTTGGCAACCTTGAGACTCCTGTTCACGGCAGCCAGCCTTGCAAGGGCTGCCTTCTTCAGATCTGGCCTGTAGTAGTTGTCTGCAACCTGTATAATTAGCTATGTTAAATATCTTAATACAAAAATAGCGAAAATAGAACTAACCTTTGCAAAGCTAACTCATGCAATACAGTAAGAACAGACTAGAAAATAGGAGAAAAAAACATAATGTGACAGACATAACAATGAGAAAAACCTTGGCAGATAAAATATTACAAGTATCTCCCAAGAAAATTGAAGGCAAATGGGAAAGAATAACAACAACTCATTCAAAATGATTCATGTGCACTCCGCATATGGATCCTTGACAAAAGAACTAATTCTCAAAGCTAACAACCAACTATTACTTCAAACAAAGCAACTACTACATTATTTAACAGGACATCAATATTAGTATTCAGAAGTATTCACCAGAAGTAATCTCCAGAAAACCTTGGAATGCAGCAAGAACTGAGAACTAGCAACTAACACATCAGAAGGCATAATGCAAAAGAGATGTGCCAATGGGAAAACCCTGATAAATTAACCTTTTAAATATATCTCCAAAGAAAAATGCAAAGGCAAATGCAAGAGAACAATAGCAACTCATCACAATGTAGTACTACTGTCTTTATTCCAAATATAGACCCTGACAACCTATTTGGTTTGGACTACTCCTCCGATCACTTCAAATAACCAAAATAGTCCACCAGGCACTATATAAAAAAGATAACTAATTCTCAAAGCTAACCAACCATTACTTCAAATGTGACTATTATCAACGACTTATATTAATTCAAGGGTGTAGACTCTAAATAATCAAAATAAAAAGCAATCCAAAGTCCAAACACATAAAACCCTTAACCTTAATAAAAAGGACAATGACAGATTCTGGAGAAAAGTTTAACCTCAAAATTATGAAGGTGAGAAATCCTAATACATCTCTGTAACTAAGGGATTGGCTCCTTAAAATGAGCCAATATTAAGATCATAACATAGGAAGAAGACAACAATAACCCATTATCAACATGTCATAATGACATAGTCAAAGACTCAAAGGCAACCAAACAAATGGTAGTTACAAGCACTGACCACATAAAATTTTGAGTAAGCACAAAAGTAGAGAAGCTACCGAAATTTGATTTGATGATAAACACTGCAAGGATACAAATTCACCATAATGTTGTTTATCTACAAACAATTACATAGCAAATAATCAAGGGAAACCAACCTGGTTGGTTACAGCCTTGGCCATTCTGCGGAATTCCTTCTTCATCACAGATTTGTTCAGCAAAGTTGAAGGCTTGTTTTGCTTCTTGGTCTTCGATGTAGCAAGCAACACAGACTTATCTTTCCCCTCAGCCTGGATAGTCACAGTTTTCTTGTTTGCTAGGCCTTAACAATCATAATACCATAAAACAAAATTCAGTTCACCTTAATTGAACACAATTCAAATATGCAACAACCATACGAACAAGGTGTAAACTAAGCAAACCTTTCCACAATTAAAAACACTACCAAACATGACAGACCTCAACTTTAATTAAAAACCAAGTGTGTACACTTAGAAAATCCTAAATAACATTCGAACGACATATGACAAATTGCATGTAAACCAACAATCAATAGACAATTTTAACGGATTGGAATCAACGAAACAAAATCCTGATATATATATATAAAAGCAAATAGACAATTTTAAGAGGTAGAAATGTAAGGGGACTAACCAGAGTGTTTGTAAGAGTGAAGGTTGTAAAGATTGTTAGGTTCTTTGCTGAAAACAACACCGGCGGTACCATTACCGAACTCCTTAACCAAAAAGGAGTTGTTTTTCTTCACGATCTCCCATACTAGTTGCCCTGGAACTGTTGTCATTTCCACTAACTGAGAGCAGATGGGGTTCCTAGGGTTTTGCTTTGACGGCGGCTAGAGGAAGATGTTGTGAGCTTAAGATCGCAAAAGTGTGTAAATTTTGCATTATATATTGGCATCTAAAAGCCCTTAGGCCAGGAATTGGACGGGCCTGAACAATTTCAATTTACGGAAATGGCCCATTTTCTCTTGACACTGTATAGCCGCTATATATACAAATATATAAATTTTACTATATACTTTTGTTATACTATTTATAAATAATTTCGGCGGCTAGAAGTGATCTTTTCTCTATCTTTTTTATTTTTTCTTTCACGCGTAAACGCTCTCGAGAGAAAATTAATTTAGTCCAAACATAAGGTCATTTATGATGACCAATTCTTTAATTATTTTATATTAATAAAAAAAAAAGGTAGGAGGAGGAATTGTATATGTAACACTTGCCATGCCTATTTAAGAGAATCTAATATAAATTTATTATTTTTAATTTGTTTGAAAGTGTGAATCAATGATTTACTTTATTTTGTTTGGTATAGCGAACTAAAAAAATTGTAGCCCTCCTTATACAATTTTGGATGTCTAGGGGGATAAAAGGTTATCTATATATAAACTCTAAGATTTTGCTGCAGTTTCTACTGCCAAAGAGATATGGATACCATCGTGAAATTACAACTACAAAACCTGGTTCTCAAAATCAAACGCATTTCTCCTTTGCAATTGCAACACATTACTAATACTATCATACGCAATTGCAATGCAGCTACACATTACTAACATTATCACACGCAATCTAGCGACGCAAGTAAATTCACAATAAATTTAAAGAAGTTCCAGTTGATCCAAAACTGAATTCCATGTGTTACATACAAATATCATAACATGACCATCTCACCACATAGAAGTGACACTGCTTCTTGCAGTGAGAATGTCCCTTCCCAACACTTGAAATTCCTCTTTCTACAACAGACTAGGATCTCATGTGCCAGAAGCTCCGCACTTTTTCATTCTCAAAAATGAGGCTCAGTTCTAAACGTCTCAAAATACAAAATAAATAGACGGGGAAGAGATTTTAAATGATGCACTGAAGTAGCCAGTGCAATCTGTACCATAAATATAAAAAGCATAAAGTCATTAACCCTCTAAATCAAAGTCGAAAAATTGAACCAATCCTAATCAGACCACCATTTTTACACCTCAACTAACGTTACATTATATACACCAGACAAAGCAGCCAATCAGCAGAGTTCCCCCAGCAACACATTTTCCACAATGGTGATCGCACCCTGTTATTGTACAAAAATGATTCAACTCGAGAACCCAGACTGGGCTGCTAAAAATCACAATTCCTACAGAACAAATCCTCATAGTCCACTACTCTGGCCTTTCCGGTCAATGGAGCATCATTCAACCGATGCTTGGTATAATAGAACGGTGGGCAGGTCGTACTGAGCTATTTAATGCTTCATTTATCCTACTGAACACTATTTTCAGGGGGACACAAGCTACTGCAGGGCCTTTAAGCTTCTCTACTACAGGTTTATTCTCTTTATTTTGTTGGTGAGAACCAGTTAAGGAAGACAATTTTCTAATCTTCTTTGAAAGGAGGCCGTTTTTCCTCGTCTTGGGTGACTTAGTTGGTGAACCACGAGGTTGCACCATGTGATGCCTAGTCGATATCCTGGCCGCCAAACTTGGCTTGGATTCATAATCCATATCTGCACCTTGCAAAGCTGAGCTGTTCTCACTGTGATCCTCATCCAAGTCATAGCTGCTGCTATAGCACTCAGATCCACTGACTAGCAGATTATCACAAAAGCCATCATCCAAGACTTCAACTGTGAGAGGGTGACCTATGATAGGCTGACCAGTCAATTTGCTCATTAGAGAGATATATGGAACATGCTGTGGACGATAGCCGGCTTTGACCTCAAGTTTAACATCATACAGTGAAGAATCAGCTATGTGGTGCCTAAGAGAAAAATCTGATGACTCATACTTGGGGTTAACTGTATATCGAGACTGGCGATAGGGTAGCAACCTCTGGGGAGCTAGCAGCTCAGCTGTTGGCCCCTTCATACGAGCCTCTCTGAGAGAAACATTCCTGCCCCAACCTCGCAACTCATCCACTATGGATCTTGTTTCGGACTGAGGCGTAGTTGTTGCTGGTCTCGACTTTAAACGATATGTCAAACTCTCTGAAGCATGGGAACCACCAGTATTATAGCAACCAACTTTCCGACCTGGAGAAAGAGGGAATGCATCAAGATCCATAGCAGTCAAATATACATTTGATTCATCTTTTAAGTCTCTGTGTTTTACAGAATCTTTCTTTGTAATCTTACTTGTCTGCCTCGAATTCCTCTTTCCTTTCAACTGCCACTTTGAAGTTCCTTTCTCCATCCTCTGGCTGAAACATTGGAAATCGTCACTACCAGAACTAATAGAGTCTGAGTCATCAAGCTCCTCACTCCCAAACGACATAGCTTCAACTTGGCTGCCCTGGCTAGGCTGTGGCCCAACACCACCTTGAGCCTTCTGAGATGTACAAGACATTATAGGAGACAAGCCTGCGTGGAGAAATAAAGAACATCAGCATACACAAATAACAAGAACAACAATCTATTGGGGAAAAGGCAGACATAGATAGATCAGACAGGAGAAGAGCAACCATGTTAAATCAGAAATAAAAAACCAGAAAAAGGAACAATAAACAGCGGAAGAAAAGCTTTTTTAATATAACTTCTTCAGAAATCATTGGTGAAAAAGCTACTAGAAACCCATAACGTTGATAAGAGAAGAAATTGAAGACAAATTTACGTACAAAGAAGTGTCATGACCTAAGTTGCTCCGACATGGCAATTTAGGTGCCGCACCCGTGTCGACACGACACTAGTATGGGTGTGGGTATGGGATCCGTATCGGATCTGGTCAAACAATTTTGGGTACATTGACCACAATGGACGGAAATATTCGACACGAGATACAATTTGATTCCCAAAATCAGAACCAAAACTAGGATAAATTTGAAGAAAATATCATACCTTATCTAAGAAATCAATCCTTTACTTATCTATAACTTGAGAATAAAAAGAAATCCACACTTTACAAGTTATACTTAAGTATTCCACAAAATTTATCATAATTTAAAGATATTTTTTATATTTTTAGTCGGATCCCCGCACCCGTCCGTATCCATACTAGGATCCGTGTCCCCGAATCTTAGAATTTACATCTCGAAGGATCCGACATCTAGATACGGGTGCACACCCGCACCCGTGTCCGAGCAACTTAGGTCATGACAAGTTCTCCCACTGAAAAGGAATCCTCAATACAAATCAAAAGAAAAGTTTTTTTTTTTTTTTTGGGAACAGTTGCATTAGAAAATAAGTCCTTAATCCAAGTTCAACAATGAGAGTTTAGAAATTTTTCTAGAGTGAGATCTGAGAAGTCCAAGACATGCGGAGGCTGGTGTATCAGGTTTTGTATATAACACATTACAGTGTCATGATAAAACGTGAGACAGAAATGAGTGCTTCTACTAATTAATCTGCCGAACTCAGCCACAAACCCCAATATGAAGTAGAGAAGAAAACTGGAAGTATGAGAGACTCTAAGTTAAAACTCTTATAATGCAAACCAACTGCGAAGTTAAGAGGAATGATTCACCAAAACTACAACACCCAAAATCTGCCACTTCAGATCACTTAAACTAAGTCGTGTCTTATGCCTAAGAACAAAGGCCAATGGGGCTTCCATGAGACCTGGAGAACATTAGTTTTGGGTCTTCCATAACCAAAGGGAAGGGAAATCCTATTGCATATAAACCTTCTAAACCATATTACGCAGTATGCATAGACGTTATCCACCCTAAGATTCCAAGGTTCTAAACCACGTTTTAGCCAAATATATTTATTGTTTAGTATCATCCACTTAAAGACAGACCCATTGGAATCGAGGCACATGTCTTAGAACCTTCACGCCTACACTATAGCACCACCTAAGCTTGCCAAATGGACAACCTAGCTTTAACTGAGTGCTAAGCGCACCTCAAATGAACCTTTAATAACACTGCTACTACAATGAAATTTTAAACAGTACAATGCAAACAAATTTCTGCTAATGCACATGAATACCTGCAGAATGCTTCTCTTCTGTAACTAAAGGCACATCAAACAACCTGTCAGAAGAGCCATTCTCAGACAACCCCAAAATACCGGAAATTTCACTCTCTTTCTGTTTGCATTTAAAAAGGGAAGAATCATGAGCGTAGCCAAATACATCAAATGGTTTCCCATTCCCACAAGTAACTGAGATATTATCTGTGTCGTTATTGAGTACAGCCGGGGAACTTTTCCCAGACTCTATAGATTGTAACCCATGAACTTTGCTTTCAGACACCCCTGCGAGAGTAGAGCCAGTTGGACTAGGAAGTTGTTCACACATTATAGGAACAGACACCATTGCTGTACTCTCCAAAACCTTTGTCAAGGGTCGGCGACGGTTCTTTCTCTTTAAAAAATCATGAACATGTGCCACCTGAGATCTCTTCCTTTTCAGAGATGACACCACACCCATCCCCAGGTCATCAAGTCCTTTCATGCGCTTACTTCCCTCAGTTCCATCATCCTCTGAGTCATTTGGTGTTCTCCTCCGTCTCCCACACACAGGTTGCTCATTAGAAGCAATTACATGATTTGGCGCCTCAAATGATACACCAGATTGAGATAATTCTTGAGCAGAATTTGAATTATCTTCAGAACTAGTCAGTTCCTCATCTAAATCATTACCATCTTCATGGGGATTAGATGAAGTATGTGAGTCTTCCATGGTATGATGCTCTCCATCTTCTTTATCTATTCTTGAGAAAAAATTTGGATGGTCTTTCCCGAGACGAGCACTTTCAATCTCTAGAGCATGAATAATGGCATCCTCTCTTCGAGCATATTTGACAGCCTTTCTTGAAGAGTTAGCAGCAGCAGCCTTAGCTTTCTCAATACATTCATCATACTCCCCACAACGAAAGGCTTTCACCCGTTTAGATTTTTCAAGATTATACCAGTCCCTGAAACAGCAGCAATTACTAGACCTTTTTATCAAGAATCGAGGTAAAAGGAAAAGGAAAATATTCAATTCCACAGTTGGTACACTCCTTAAATAGGAAGGGCAAAAATGGGACGAGAAAGAAAAAAACAAGTCCATATTAAAGAAAACAAAGATGACAAATACTGCTATAAGAGAAAGTAAAACACATGAGTGAAAAGGAACACCATATATCTGCACTGCGGAAGTATTAGCAGGTTAAATGATAGCAAGGAAACTAATGTCAACTTTTCTTGGCAGCCCAATAATTAGCAAGGAAGGTAATGTCTCTGTAACCGGGAGAAACGGGTGCAACTACAAAAAGGACTAAGATGCTTTTAGTATCCAACAAGAACTTTGAGACACTTGAACCAGTTTTAATTTGCGAGGAACATGTAGAACTGGATTCTGCAACAGAAACAATCAGAAGTAAAAATGGCTCTGAATGACTTCAGTCCATGATGCCACTGAGGTAGAACCACAATTAGGGAACATATAGTAATCTTAGCTAGCTTGATAACTCAACCTTTACCAATAGAAGGAAGATTCCCCATATGAATGCTGGTCTGGTTGGAAAGTTGATAAAGCCATCAGAGAGGAAAGACCGGGAAGCATCTCCTGCTCAAAAATTCGAATATTCTTTTCTTTTGGAAAAGATGACACCTGCTTGTATCTTTTAATGTGTCTGGACAAAAAGGGAGCACAGACGTTTTGATGGGATATCAACTCAAACACAGACACTTAAGGCTAGATGTCTCCTTTTAGTTATTTAGTTGGCAGTATTTATCCCCCCGTAGATTGCCATATTAACTTTTTGGATTTTGTCAAGCTCTTTTGCTTTAGCCTAGTTTTTTTTTTTTTTTTTTGGTATCAAAGCTGACTCTTTCCCTCTCTCTTGTACTTCTTGCATCTTCTTGATGCCTTTTTCTATAAAACTCATTACTTCATCAAAAAAAGAAGGAAGATTCCTCCCCATATTGCCAAATAAGATCCTGCACGTCACATACAGATATGACAAACCGCTTACAACGCTAGCAAAAGTCAAAAATCAACATTGTTACTTGACAATAGCCAATAAACACCTGATAATCTCGATCGCACGGCTTACATTAAACTTTTCAAAGCCAAAAACTGTTGTACGTACCACATAAATGGCATAAGCAGTATAGACCGTTCACAGCAAAGAAAGTACCATAAGAAAGCTAAATTGAAATACTAGAACATTAAGTAATAGAAGCAGATGGAGTTGCCTAACATCCAAAAGTCGGAACGCCTCTACACAAGAATCGGTAAGACCTAACCGTAAGCTATTCTGTAGGTTTCATATTTTAATTGTCAGAAGTAGTTCCCACAATTTCTTGTTTCACGACATGGTAATTAGGTTCGTTAGCTTAGTTCTATTATAGGTGGAAAGTAAATTGACACACATTACGTCTAATATTTTTTGTTCCAAAACAGACACTACAAATCTCTAACTATGCGACTTCTGTGCACGAGGAACCTTAGCAGCTACAGGAATGAATGAACCACACACTCGCCAACTCCTTCCCTGCAACCAACTCTACAACACGAAATTCTCCATTCATTTTAATTTTACTTCATCGTCAAAATTTTACTCTTTCTGATCCATATTATTTGTCTTTTAAGGTTTTTGCATATTCCTATGATCCTATCCAAATCCTAAGCCCGTAAAGCATCAACCTAGCTCCGCAGAGGAATCTGATGTCTTTTTAATCCAATTTTTACAAGTTTAGGAGTGGGCACTAGTATTAGGATTAATGCGAGAGACTGCTAACCATCTCCTCTTCAAACAAATAGCAAGGAGAAAGTCTCATACTTGAAGGAATACCACATTACTAAGATAAATAAATAATGCACCCAAGGGTGTGGCCTGGTGGTTAGTGAAGAGGGTTACGACCATGAGGTGTGAGGTTCAAATCCCCCAGCGGAGACAACAGCGGAAGCGGGCCACAACACCACAGTTATAATTAAAATAAAAAAAGATAAATAAACAAGACAAAGGCAGTGAAAACAAGAACTTACACACTGGCATCTTCTCTGCCAAGGAGCTTAACGGGAGTGCCTGATCTTGGTGAAACAGAACAACTCTGAGGTAACTCATCTGGGCCCAAAATCCGACCAGGCCACCACGACCCATTTCGTCTGCGGACCCACACCAGCCCACCCACCGACGCATCAATGGCTTTGGCACTTGACTCACCCGAACTCCCCATTTCCTCTTCAAAGAATGCAGGGATAAAATAGTTAAAAAAAATCCCCAAATTCAGTCAATCCACAGCATTCCTCCTAAGCATCCAAAAAACCCTACAAAAATCACCTCTTTTCCTGTCATCAAAAAATTCACATAGCTTTTTAAACCACAGAACAAACAAAAAACAGTTTAAATTAACGGATTTTTCATTAAAAAAATTAAACCCTCACATGCAACAAAAAAGCCCAAAGTATACAAAACATTAAAAAAAAAATCTCCAAAAGAAAAAAAAACACAAGGAAAGAACAACAAAACAAAACAGATTGAAGGGTTTATGCGAGAGACAGATAGATCTATCTGAAAAAAATAACAACGGAAAAAAAACTTCGGTTATGAATAGGATTGTTTCCCCTCATTTTTTTCCAAAACTATATGTACAATAAGCAAAACCCACCTCCCTATTTATTTGGATTTTAAAGTCCTTCTGTTTTTTCTTGTTTCACTCTGGAGAACATTGATATTTTAGTTCCAGCGAAAGAGTACAAGAAAAAGGAGAGTGAGGTGTTCGCCGCAGAGGAGAAGTTGATGAAGAATGGTAGTAGAAAAGAGTGGCTTCTCTCTACCAACAAAAATAAAAAGGATACAACGTACCCTTTTGAGTATCTTCCTTTATTTCCAAAACAGAGAGAAAGAGAGAGAACCGTCTTCGCACGCACACACAAACGAGAGAGAGCGAGAGAGAGAGAGAGAGAGTTTTGTGTTTTTTTTTTTTTTTTTCTTCTGTGGATTAATATTTCGTAATTTATTTTTGGAGTTTGGGGGCAGAGGTGATAATAATAAACAGAAAAGGGAAAAAAAAAGTGTTACTATGATTCAGCATGACAGGAAGTACGCTAAGATATCTACTATACACCTCTTTACTGTGTATCTCTTCGTGGGCCCCGCTATTGATCGAGAAAACGTGCCCTCTATTTTATCATAATTGCAATAACTTCCCATGTGAGGTGAGTAAATTGTTACTTTAGCCCTTAACTAACATTTTGTTTGGATGGTTGTTCCACATTGTATCGTATTTTATTGTTATCTCAAAAGAGTGTTTGTTTTGAATCCATTGTTCCGGAAAAATAAAAAATCCCCTTTTTTGAAACAACCGATTTAGTGTGGTGGGATTGTTTCCTATTTTTCTTTCCAATTATGCCCTAACTTATTACTCCATAATTCTATTTTACTCTTTAACTTTTTTTCTATTTTAACTCCAAATCTCCAACCTATAACCTACTTTATTTTTTTTCAAGTTAAACTTGGAGATGGAAGTCTTCTTTCCTTTCTCGACGGTGAAGTAAGACCAAGCTCATGAGCTTATTATCCTAGGTTGGAACAAGTTGATAGGACCCTACAATATTCTAGATTCACCACTTGTCTCAAACAAGAGAAAGAAACAAGCATAAAATCTTTTTTATAGATATTCTAAATATGCTCCCTATGATAACTGCCTTGAGCATTATACAAGGGCGTGCTGTAGGAGTAACCCATTACCTTCTGGGTGGAATTACCACAACATGGGCATTCTTCTTAGCAAGAATTATTGCAGTAGGATAGAAACAAATGATTAATCATCTGCTTCTCACGTTCCGTGAATAGCCGGGACTTTTCTTCTGTATGAATCGATATTATTCCATTCCAAATCCTTCCCGATACCTCCCAAGGAAAATCTCGAATTTAGATCCCAAATTGACGGGTTAGTGTGAGCTTATCCATGCGGCTATGCACTCTTTGAATAGGAATCCGTCTGTTACTTTATGTGCTGTTCTCTTATTTGTCGGTGCAGTTGCTAAATCCGCCCAATTCCCCCTTCATGTATGGTTACCTGATGCAAAAAAGTGCGTACAGTACTTTTGTGTTTCCGAGCTAAAGTTCTAGCACAAGAAAGTCGAACTATATACTTTATTCGATATAAAGTCTTTTTTTTGGAGCCAAAAGGTGCTTTGGATGGTCGAATCTGCCCGGACTCAAGTAACTCTTTGAGTTGCTTCCTTAACTCTTCTAATTCCGGGGGATAATGAAAAAGATTTTTGCATATACGCCCAAATCGGTCAATAATATCAGAATCTGATAAATCGGACCAAACCGGTTTACTAATGGGATGAAGCTTGCCATTCTGTTTATTTGGCCGAATCCGACTCTGGGCCTGCCCTTTTGCTAGCTTTTTCAATGCTAGGCTCGGGTCTTGTTAGAGCACGGCTCCCACATTGCACTGCCTGTCTCCACATCTATTCGGTAAAAGAAAGCTTCCAATGCTAGCCTCATTCCATAGTAGACAGCCCAAGCTTCGACAACTCCAGCATCAGTGGCGTGGAAATGACTCTTTGACGTAGCTGAAAAGATGGATCTGGAGTTTCTTTTTGTATATTATATTGATGATCCGATCCGCAAGGACCATGATTGGGAATTGTTTGATCGTCTTTCTCTGAGGAAGAGTCGAAATAGAATCAATCAATTCTGGCTTCAAAAGGGACGTTTCTTTTGATGAGTAAATGGAAATTTTACCTTGTCAATATTTGGCAATGTCATTTTTATCTGTGCTTTCACACAGGAAGGATCCATATAAACCAATTATCCAATCATTCCCATGACTTTATGGGCTATATTTCAAGTGTGCGACTAAATCCTTCAATGGTACGTAGTCAAATGTTAGAAAATTCATTTCTAATCAATAATGCAATTAAGAAGTTCGATACCCTTGTTCCAATTATTCCTTTGATTGAAACTTCTGCCGCCAATATTAAAGGTGTTTTGCCGCCTTCTATTTGATTTTTTTCTCCTAATTTGCTTTTAACCCAATTATAATTAGCTGTGCTCATTTGTTTTGCTTTCTTCTGTCTCGCTCCTTTGTTCTGCTTTCTTAAGGTGTTTTGCCTTCTTCTGTTTTGTTTTTCAAAATTATCTTTATGCATAATTTTTGATAAGTTTAATATTTAAACAAATTAGGGTATTTTAGTAAACTTATCAGTTGCAATACAATACGATACAGTCAAACCAAACAGTAAAATATTATTTAACAATAACAAATAATACAATCTATCCAAACATTATATTCATAAAATGATACAATACAATACAATACATTATAAAACGATGAGGAACAATGATCCAAACAGAGAGTGAAGCATTGATGACTGTCTTAGAGCCCGTTTGGACGTAAGAATTTTTTCACTTTTTTCGAAAAAATTTCACTTTTTTCGAAATTAGTATTTGACCATAAAATTTCCAATTTTTAATTGAAGATGAATTTTGAAATTTTTCAAATATTTTAAAAACTCCAAAAAGCTATTTTTCAAAAATTTTACTCATATCACTCACAAAACTTCAAAACACAGACCGAATGACTCTATGAAATTACGTTGATACTTCCATATATTATGGGTAACGTAGGAGACATCTCTATTTTTTCCCCGGGGAATCTTTAGAATTCCCACTACTTCTTAATAGTGCATACAAAAGATTGATAGAGCTAGCGATGACAACGTTATTGTATCAACGATGTATGCACGAGCCCATGCAAACAGGTTAAAAGCGGTAGATAGCTTGGTTCCTATAGGTCGTGGTCAGCATAATCTTTCATAGGCTCGACACAGGTTGTGACGTCGGGTCCTCTCTTCTCTTCATGAATCTCAGTTGGAAGCCCCCATTTTTATCTGACATCCAATGAAGGCGCTATTCGATGAAGAAAACAAACTTTAGGAAAGTGGTTCAGGTAGCTCAGCTGGTTAGAGCAAAGGACTGAAAATCCTTGTGTCAGTGGTTCGAGCTTCTTCAATAATTCCAATTCCTGGAAAGCCTAGAAGTACTCTTCCTCTGGTGGACCCAGACTCTCCTTTATTCCGCTTCTGAGTTCATACCAGATCCGACTCAAAATTATATTCATGTCCAACACAACTCTAACTTTCAAATACCATTTTCACTTAGAAAAATATTTTCATTTTTTTTTTGGGAATTTTACAATTCTTATGTCCAAACGCCCACTTAGTGGTTGAACTCAAATCTGAGCCATTAATCATCCACTGACTTCTGATTAGAACACTAGTTTTTGAGCCAAACAAGTTTTATACCTGATTATTTTTGCAAAATTTAATTCAAGTAACATAATTGAAGTAAAATTATACGAAAGGAACAGGAAAGGTAAAGCATATTTGATTCAAAAAATATTACGTTCAAAGTCAATTTTCAATTTGTTCTTTCACTGGTAGGCCAAAGAAGTATTGGGGAGAGGTGATTAAGCAAAATATGATGTTGCTCCAGTTCAACTTGTCACGACCCGGATTTCCCACCTTCGGGAGTCGTGATGGTGCCTACTAATAGAAGCTAGGCAAGCCAATTAATTTAATAACTCTCTTGACAACATCAACAATATAAAGAAAGACGAGACAATTAATACAAAAGCGGAAGTCTCAAAACATAAATAGCTGAAACCAAGTGCGGAAGCTCAAATACATCTCTACCCAGGTCTGCTGTCACTAACTCACGAACTTCTACAGAATGCTAAATACAAAGTCTGAATAAAAACACAGTACTGTCTAATCCGATACAAAGGAAATCAAACGAAAAACAAGGATAAGAGAGACTCCGGGCCATGTGGACGTCAGCAAGGCTACCTCGGGGATCCCTGGACTAAAGTCAACTCCCAATGCTCCTACTGCTGTCCAAAAGCTCTTGCTCCGGTACTGTGATCTGTGCAAAAAGATGCACAGAGTGTAGCATCAACACAACCGACCCCATGTGCTGGTAAGTGCCTGGCCTAACCCCGACGAAGTAGTGACGAGGCTAGACAGGACTACCAATCAACCTATGCAGATATATATATACAAACTCTACAAAGATAACAGCGGAAGGTAATAATTAAGACTGGGAGGGGAACATGCTTTTGGGGATAACAGATAAAATAGAATGGTAGGAATAAATAAGGAAAACTACAACTAATCTCTTCTAACACAGAATACGTGGTCGGCGTGCCACACGATCCCATTTCATGATATATAAGTGGTCGGCGTGCCACACGATCCCATTTCATAATATATAAGTGGTCGGCGTGCCACACGATCCCATTTCATAATATATAAGTGGTCGGCGTGCCACACGATCCCATTTCATAATATATAAGTGGTCGGCGTGCCACACGATCCCATTTCATAATATATAAATGGTTTCCCGGCAAGGGAACAAGTATCAATTCAACTATCCCGGCGAGGGAGAATACAAGTAAACAGCTAGTTCCCGGCAAGGGAGCAACGACAATAACTTACACGTCCCGGCAAGGGAATAATTACATCTCTTTCTCCTTCGTTCACTTCTTACTTCCTAACCAAATCATAATTCGAGCCAACGCTCCAAGGAGTTTACAAGTCATATTTCCTCTTCATACTGTTCACATTATATAACAACTATCAATTAGACAAGGAAGAGTCACTACAGAATTCCAAATAAGCACAACTAAGGACTCACGGTCATGCTAGACACCGGTGTATAGATACTCGTCACCATGCCTATACACCGTACTCCACATTTAGCAATTAGCAAACAATACTCTACTCCTATTCCCTCAAGCCAAAGTTAGACCAAACACTTACCTCGAATGCTCCAAACTCAAC